GTTGGGGTTTTTTTTTTTTTTTTTTTTTTTTTTTGTGCAGATGGAGGGGACAATTCTTTGGCGGGTGTAGAGGAGTCTCTCTCCCCATCAGAGAGAGCAGCAGTCCTTAAACTTAAACAGCTGCAGGTACACCCCAATTAGCAGCAGCAGCAGCAGCAACAGCAGCAACAGCAGCAACAGCAGCAGCAGCAATATAGTGTGTACATATATATTTACCCTCTCCCTATATATACATTAAATAAACACTTTCTCTCCTTGTCTATCCCCCCCCTCATATATATATGTCCTTCTTCTTTATCTGCTGCTGCTTCTGCTGCTGCTGCTGCTGCTGCTGCTGCTGCTGCTGCTGCTGCATCTATAGGAGGAGCATGCAGCCCTATCTGCACAATTCGAGGCGGAGGTTTTACGATTAAAATTAATTTATGAAGAAAAATACAAACCCTTATACCAACAAAGACTACAAGTTCTTCTTAATGAGGATAATAATAATAATAATAATAATAATAATAATAATAATAATAATGAACAAAATGCAGAAAAAGAGGCAACAGGAACACCTGTATGTAATACCGAGGGTTTAGGGTTTAGGGTTTTTCCGGTTTAGGGTTTTAGGGTTTTAGGGTTTTAGGGTTTAGGGTTTAGGGTTTAGGGTTTTGTTGTTGATTGTGTATTCTATCTTTTTATTATAATGTTTATTTATTGTGTATATAATGTTATTGAATATATTTATACAATACTCCATTTCTAGGGTTTATGAAAAAATTAGGGTTTAGGGTTTAGGGTTTAGGGTTTAGGGTTTAGGGTTTACGTATTTTTTTTTTTTTTTTAGGGTTTACCGAATTTTTGGCTGCGTGCATTAAAAGCAAATAGATTATTAGCAGATGTAATTGAGGAACATGATGAGGGTCCCCTCTCTTATCTACAGGATATAAGATGTGAATGGTTAGTACCTAAGGAGGCAGCAGCAGCAGCAGCAGCAGGTGATACAGCAGGAGCAGCAGCAGCAACTGCAGCAGCAGCAGCTGCAGCAGCAGCAGAAGGAGAGGAAAATAATACAACAATTGAGGGTTTACATGGAGAAAGTTTCCGATTAGTGTTTACATTTAGGGAAAACCCTTATTTTTCTTCCTTAGTATTAAAAAAAGAGTATATATTAGGTGTATGTACACCTAGCGGTGATAATAAAGGAGGAGCAGCAGCAGGAGGAGCAGCAGCAACAGCAGGAGCAGCAGCAACAGGTGCAGCAGCAGGTGCAGCAGAATTAATAAAATGTATTAGTAATAAGATAGAATGGTATAAGGAGAAGGATATAACAAAAAAAATAATAATAAGGAAACAAAGGAATAAAAAAACTAAACAAATAAGAACAATAACAGAGACTGTTAATAATAATTCTTTTTTTAATCTATTTAATTGTCATGATATACCTTCCGATGATAAATTACAACAAATGGATGAAAAAGAGGTATCTAAACCCTAAACCCTAAACCCTAAACCCTAAACCCTAAACACTCTTAAAAACACTCATCATCAATACTAATTAACACTAAAATAAATACTAATTATTTACAATTTAATTGTCATGATATACCTTCCGATGATAAATTACAACAAATGGATGAAAAAGAGGTATCTAAACCCTAAACCCTAAACCCTAAACCCTAGGGAAACCCTAAACCCTAAACCCTAAACCCTAAACACTCTTAAAAACACCCATCATCAATTCTAATTAACACTAACATAAACACTAATTATTTACAATTTAATTGTCATTATATACATTCGGATTATATATTACAACAAATGGATTAAAAAGAGGTACATAAACCCTAAACCCTAATGTAAACCCTAAACCCTAAACCCTAATCGAAACCCTAAACACACGTTTTAACACTTATCACTAATTTTGGCACAAATAAACACTAATAAAGTTATGATATTCCTTTGGGTTATTAATTACAACAAATGGATTAAAAATAGGTATCTAAACCCTAAACCCTAGTGGAAACCCTAAACCCTAATGTAAACCCTAAACACTAATATATAAACCCTAATTGACAGCAAACACAGCGGTTTGTTGTATTAGGGTTTTGGGGTGTATACGCAGGTCGAAGAATTGCAGATGGTTGTTGAGGCTGATTACGACATTGGCATAACTATCAGAGTATGTAAACCCTAATCCTCTAAACCCTCTAAACCCTAAACCCTAAACCCTAATTAGCTAACAGACGAATAGATTATGACAACAGGAAACCCTATATACAGGGTTTAGGGTTTGGGGCAGTGTGTAACCCTCGAACACCGCCTCCTCCTCACCCCGAAATCTACAAACCCTAAACCCTAATAATAATAAATGCAAACCCTAAACTCTAAACCCTAAACCCTAAACCCTAAACCCTAATTTGTGGTTTATATACTCAGGACAAGATAATTCCTCGTGCAGTTGAATGGTATTTAGGCCAAGTAGATGACGACTCGGACTTTGATGATTATGACATAAATGATGAAGAATTGTCAGCTAGGGTTTAGGGTTTATTAGGGTTTATTAGGGTTTATTAGGGTTTAGAGGATACAGAGGGGGAATGGATATGAAAAGGGTTTAGCTAGGGTTTAGGGTTTCATTAAAGAGGGGAAGAATGCGATAATATTTAGGGTTTAGGTATACAGCAGCATCTCCTGCTCCTAATAGAGGTATATATCCGTAGGGTTTAGGGTTTATTAGGGTTTATTAGGGTTTAGGGTTTGTGTCTGCAGCGACAGCGAGGAGAGCGAAGAAGAAGAAGATTCTTCGGATGAAGAACCACCCAGATCACACAAAGGTGCGGAGAAGGTATAGACACACCCGTAGGGTTTAGGGTTTAGGGTTTAGGGTTTAGGGTTTAGGGTTTAGGGTTTTTTTTTTCTAAGGTTTTTGGAGGTACCGCGTGTGTGTGTCCACACACACACGGCCTCCTATTACTATTCAACATATTTCTGCTGCTACTACTGCTGCTGCACCTCCTGCTGCTGCTGCTGCTGCTGCTGCTGCTGCTGCTGCTGCAGGGCACCATCGCCATTGATGGTGGAGGGGCGGAGCAGAAACCCGAGTGCAAGCAGCAGTAAACTTTTAATTAATTAAGAGACAATTAAGGGGAATCAGCAGCAGCAGCAGCAGCAGCAGCAGCACGTACAGTAGCAGCAGCAGCAGTAGCTGCTGCTGCAGCCGCTGCAGCTGCTGCTGCTGCTGCTGCTGCAGTGGTGAGGTGTGTATACACCTGAATAAAAAAAAGGTGTCTATTAATTATTTATGTCTCTTAACAAAACCATCAACATGCCTTCGTGGCTTTTACCGTCTTTTGTGCTTTATTAGGGTTTAGGGTTTAGGGTTTAGGGTTTAGGGTTTATATATAAGAAAAGGATCCCCTATAGATACGTTTAGGGGACGCCACGCCGCTGCTGCAGCAACGTATATAAATGTTGTTGCTGCTGCTGCTGCATATACAGTGTACTGCTGCTGCATATACAGCCTGCTGCTGCTGCTGCAGCAAATTCTGCTGCTGCTACTACAGCAAACTCTGCTGCTGCAGCAACAAAATCTCCTGCTGCTGCAGCGTGTCCCACCATAACTGCTACACATCCTGCAGCAGTTGCTGCTGGTGTTGCTGCGGGCGCTGCAACAACAGCAGCAGCAACAGCAGCAACTGCTGCTGCTGCTATCGTAGCTCATCTGCAGCATTGTGCTGCTGCTGTGCTGTAGCTCTAGCCACATCAACAGCAGCAGCAGCAATTGCTGTTGCTGCTAGCGTAGGTCTAGTGTATGCTACTGCTGCCCTGTAGCTGTAGCAGCAGGAGCAGCAGGAACTGCTACTGCTGCTGCTATCGTAGATCGGGTGTATGCTGCTGCTGCCCTGTAGCCCTAGCAGCAGCAGCAGCAGCATGTGTCTCTAAATCTGCCAATTTGCTGCGGAGAATATCAAAGGCCATTTGTACTATCTTCTCTGCAGGCATTACACCAGTTGACTGCAGCAGCAGCAGCAGCAGCAGCAGCAGCAGCAGCAGCAGCAGCAGCAGCAGCAGCAGCAGCAACAGCAGCAACAGCAGCAGTAGGAGTTAGTTCGGGATACAGTAGTAGTAATAGGAGAGAAGGAAGGTAGATATAAAAAAGGAGACACTTAAGGTAAGAGAGGAGACACTTTATTATACAGGAGACAAGAAGGAAGGAGACACAAGGGAGACACATAAAAGGAGACAATAAAGGAGACACATAAAAAGAGACACAAGGGAGACACATAAAAGGACACAAAAAAGCAGACAAAAAGAAGGAGACAAAAACAGAGGAGACAAGAAAAAAGGAGACAAACAAGGAGACAAAAAAAAGAGACAAAAAAGGAGACAAAAAAAAGGGGACAGAAAGGAGGAGACAAAAAGGAGGAGACAAAAAGAAGGAGACAAAAAGAAGGAGACAAAAAGGGGACAAAAAAAAGGGAGACAAAAAAGGAGACAAAAAAGGAGCCAAAAAAAAAGGAGACAAAAAAGGAGACAAAAAAGGAGACAAAAAAAAGGAGACAAAAAAGGAGACAAAGAAAAGGAGACAAAGAAAAGGAGACAAAGAAAAGGAGACAAGAAGGGAGACAAGAAAAGGAGACAAGAAAGGAGACAAAAAAGAGACAAAAAAAGGAGACAAAGAAAAGGAGACAAGAAAGGAGACAGTTGTACCTCAACAGTGAAATGGAAGGTTCGTTCATCAGGAGAGACTTCTATCGCCTCCCTAAGAGACAATTCCTTCGCCTTCTTTATACACTGGTTGCAGTACCTGCAGCAGCAGCAGCAGCAGCAGCAGCAGCAACAGCAACAGCAGCAACAGCAACAGCAGCAGCAACAGCAACAGCAGGATTGGATATTATAGCGAAGGCAGGAGGAAAATTGCAATGGTAACAGCAGCTGCAGCAACAATAACAGCAACAGCAGTAGCAGCAGCAAGAGCAGCAGCAGCAAGAGCAGCAGCAGCAGCAGCAGCAGCAGCAGCAGCAGCAGCAAGGATTACATGCAGTCGAAGGCATTAGCCACTCTTAAGATGCCGTTGCCTGCAGCAGCAAAAAGAGACAATAAAAAATAAATAAGAGACAGGAAAGGAGACAAAAGGAGACACATAAAAGGAGACAAAAAGGAGACACAAATAAGACAAAAAGGAGACACATAAAAGGAAACAAAAAGGAGACAAAAAAGAGAAAAAAGAGGCACATAAAAGGAGACAAAAAGGAAACAAAAAGGAGACACATAAAAGGAGACAAAAAGGAGACAAAAAGGAGACACATAAAAGGAGGCAAAAAGAAGACAACAAGGAAACAGAAAAGGAGACAAAAAAGGAGACAAAAAGGAGACAACAAAAAGGAGGCAAAAAGGAGACAAAAAAGGAGATAACAAAAAGGAGACATAAAGGAGAGAAAAAAGGGGACAAAAGAGGGGAGAAAAAAGGAGAGAAAAAAGAAGACAAAAAAGGAGACAAGAAAAAGGGGACAAAGAAGGAGACATAAAGGAGACAATAAGGAGACAAAAAGGAGAGAAAAAAGGAGGCAAAAAAGGAGAGAAAAAAGGAGACAACAAAAAGCAGACATAAAGGAGAGCAAAAACGAGACAAAAAGGAGAGAAAAAAGGAGACAAAAAAGGAGAAAAAAGAAGAAAAAAAAGAAGAAAAAAAAGGAGAAAAAAAAGTTGACCTCCAAGATGTGTGTCGTCTTCAACCTCAAAAACATTTCTTGGGCAAGAATCAGCACTAAAAAAAAAAAAAAAAAAAAAAAAAAAAAAAAAAAAAAAAAAAAAAAAAT